CCAGCTACATAGTGCCCGACGAGGAGTTGGGTAGGTAGTGAAGAAAAACATTGACTGAAGCCTGGCAGAGGACTGAATTGTTGTCAACAGCAACAAACATACCGGGAAAGTCAAAGACAGTGAAAAAACAAACAAAAAAACACACAGGCATATAAATACTAACTTTCTAGGATCTTTATTGACTCCAAGTAATCCAGAGTAGAACGAGATGAATCAACGCTATACATCTTTATTTTAATATTAGATGCAACCATTATTCTGTAGGGGACAACGGGTCATGACTTGAGGGGAGTTAACACCCATGATTTTTAAAATGCCTTGATCAATAAGAGTCTGAGTTACAGGGAACATTATTTTGATTTTTCAGTGGACCAATAAATGCATTTGACAGGAAAATAGAAAAACTCTACCACAACAGCAATTAGAACAGCTTGCTGCATTATAAGTATCACTTCCCTGTCAAATTAGTGGTTCATGCTTATTTGAATCTGAACATAACAGGCCAATTCACACCTTGCTAGGCTTGAACTTCCATCCAATCAGAGCATTCCAAATGAACATGATTCTCCACAAATACTAGAGGGCGCTCTGACCAAAAAAATTGCCATTATCTAAAGAAAAAGAACTGATATATATATAAATTAATTAGTCTGTTTGGGAAAAAATATTTATAACAATACGGGGGAGGTGTTAACTATATTAATAGGTGTAACGTGTCAATGTATAAAGATATAAATGACAAATTACCTTAATTATCTATTCCTATTGAGGCCTTTTACAATGAAATTATTCAGTTAATATGTTTTTTCTTATAAAAATACATTTTATGACCATGTTGTTGGAATGAATATGTGGAAGATGACCATGCAAATGCGCGTGCAATTACTTTATGGTATGGGCTACGTGTGGTAAGCCAAGAATAGATCTATATCATAGTATATAATGAGGAATACACGAGCCAGATTCAAAATAGCCCGCAGTGATGTAAGCGAATCGAGATCATTGGAAGTAGTTGCAGTCTTGTTTATTCATTATCACGGCATGGGGATAATAAGTTTTTGTCTAAAGTCCGAATAAACAAGAATAGTAACTTAAGGACGCATCTGGGCAGGACAATATTGCTAATTCACGGGATACTCACTTTTGGCATCATCTCACTAATCATTAGTGACAAAGTGACTCCCCGGATTTTCCGTCATGCTAACTTACTTAACGTTCAGAGTCCTCTCGGATGTTATTAACGCAGTCGGTTATAATGTTAGTTTTTCAATGATCTTGCACCCTACTCAAGTTTATATGTTAAATGGACTTGTACAGTTTACCGTGAATAATGGTGTTAAGCAATGAAATGTTTTATCCCTTTTTCTTTTAATGTATATGTGGACCAACTTAGTACCTTAGTACTCGGGTAAAATAGCATTGCATGTAGCATAAAGCATCTCATGTATGTTGACAACATAGTTGTACCGAGTCCTACTATTCGAGGATTACGCTCTCGTAGATACGTATGATGTATATGGCAGTGTCAATGATATTGTGTTTCTCAAGAAGGATGCATGTACTTGTTTTCACCAAAAAAATACGAGATCCTACCGCGTGTGCATTCGCTTAATGTTGTTTTCAGTCATACATATTCGGATGTTGTTTTCTCTTATTCTTTTTGCAATAACTTGGATATCAAACACCAAAGTCATTACTCGGGGGTTTTAATCAGAAAATGTAGTAATGAATCATGTAAAAGTATTAATATTTCATTTTTTGTGCGAACTTATGCACTGTTATGAACACATTATATTTGTAAATGTTCTATATATTATTGGGATTCACCCGGGATTGCAGTGCTAGTGGTATTATCCAATCTTATCATATAACTCAGCATTTATCCCGTCTCTACACATGTATTTCGGTTACCAGCATGCACATTGATGGCAGTAGATAGAATGTTCATGATTTACAACTGTGACATTTATTATTCATTGAACAATATACTGATATAACACAATTGTTTTCAATTCAATTTTACATTGAATATTCAAACAGCAAATAACACATTTCTACCATCCCACCAACGTTTCATTGAAGTAGTACCAATAATAAGAATGATAAAATATTAATTATAGGTAGGTAACGGTAACAGTAACAATATCAATAATGCTGACCATGTATCTTTTAAATAAAAATAACATAAAAACACAACACACTCACACAAAACGAGTGTATCAATACATCACATGTCTAATTGTGTATCTATCTACGTTAATAGAAAATTCTTTATTTATTTACTTATAAAGACAAGAGTTTTCCAATAACCTTCGATGCTCATGATGTCCATTAATGTTTATTGTCTAATGCCTGTGTAAATTAAGTGTATGAATGTATCATATGTCTTATATATGTAACATAACCAGTTTAACGAAAATAACATACAATAAAGCTTAGAATAAAGAAAAAAAGTCGAATCAATGTGAAATAAAATAGATTGTGATAATTGGCGCTGCAATCGGGTACAATTATAGCAAGTGAATAGCGTCCACATCATAATCAACATTTGGAAAATCTTGTGTAACAATCATCAACGGGTGATTTTCAGTCCTAGGACCAACTAACCATTTTCAAACGGGCTTTAATGCAAGGAAAATTAAAATCTGAATAGAGTGAACAATATTTTTTGTTGGAGTTCTTGGTACATAACAATGTGTTTCCATACTGTATATATGTTGTCGATTGAACAAGCAACATCGCAATTTAATGGTAAATACATTGAGGCCTCTAGTTTTGTTATGCACGTATTAATTTGAAAATAATTATGCTATTCTTGATGTTCATAAATCAGTTGACAGTAAATGCTATTCACTAGATATAATTGACCAGAGTGTCATGTTTATTGAATTTAATTGGGTAGAAATTTAAAAAATACATGTATGTGAATTCCATTATTTTATTCATCATACATGTATTTTCAATTGCGATGTGACAACACGTGCACGTAGCTGTACATCACACGCATTAATATCAATTCATTGAATCATACTTAACTGTTATTATATCAGTATTACAGATATTACGCTAATCTAATCGAAAATATGTACCAACATAATTTGCATAATGCAATACGCGCATGTGTGAGCAAGCAATGAACAATCTATTGTACTTAATTTTGTTGAGAATACGTTGCACAACGAATCTACAAGTCACCTACTATCTATCTATCTATAGTGTATTCACATATACATTCAGGTATGATATTGAAATTATACTATAATGGGTGTATTCTGCATTATATATCCTCCGTAGATTTATTACTGTTAATCAATTATAAACTCATCTGTTAAAAACATTTTGTGATGAGTAAAACTGTGTATAATGCTTGTTGCACTCCCAAACTAAATACAATAATAGCTCTAACCATATGATCTGACCTGAGTTTTAATAGTGTCATGCGTTTCAAGCAATGTTACTGTGCAGTATAAAACAAGAGAATGAACACCGTCACAGAGAGTCGTTTCACAGCCAGAATAAGTAGCAACATGTCTCGTTTCGGATTTCTGCAATACGCTACAACCTGTATCACACAGCACCAAGAACAAAGACAAACAAAACAACAAAAGCTTTTGATTGTGAGCTTTAAAACATTAATACCATATCACTGATTTCGAACAAATCCCTTCATTGTACATTATGTAGATTCCATATGCATTAAAATCATTTCCGAAATAGCTTACATCACTTCGTGGCTGTATTCTTTCAAAATGATACATCCCTTTCTCTCTCTTTGATTCAACCATAATTGTGACGTTTGTTACTCCCATGTTTGACGTCTGTTGCGTTACGTTCTTAGAGTATGAATTGTGATTCAGATGTTATTTCCACTAATGTATAACACAATTTAATAGACCGTTGACACACACGGCCACCGAGCAAGAAAACCACGTGGCTTGTGTTTAGGTCATATTGATGAGGAAAACAATAAACTCGGTGACGAGAGAGAATAGAATAATTGATGACCTTAACGAGATGACTGCAGCCATTTGTGTTTAAGGAATATTTTGTAATACTGTTTAATTTTTGCAAAAAAATCCATATTTCATATAGATCCAATGATTCATATAATTGGGATATAATCAAAATCGAATTATGTTTATTTGTGTGTCTACTCTTTGACCAAGGCTTGATAAACAATATGGTTGTTTATGTGCCAGAGGGCGCTATTATAATCATATATATATATCATATTATGTCATTATATATTCATGTCTTACATTTACACTTACTTACAACACGATAAACACACTCCATACACTACCCTTGGCGTTAATACTGAATTGGAGTGGCAAAGAGAAAAGCAAACTGCTATACTTACTTGAACTGAACGCTCTAATAAGACTAGTAAGTCAAAGTAAAAAAAAATAAGCCATAATCTGTATTCTTTTAGGGTTTGGTGGCCGAATTTCATTCGTATTATTTCAATTTTAAATGTTGTCGTTGTTGTAAAAATGTCGGGTTTTCGATGAAATATACAGCTTTTTGGAAACATTATAAACACGTGGATTCGGGAAATCCCAATATTTCACTAAGAGACACGGTAGGTGCGTCCCGTAGTTGTCTTTCGCGTTTCACAAAGCATGTCCAAGAAGACCCACTGCTTCCAATGAATAAAGAAGACCCTGAAATGAAAAAAAACACAAATAAATAAATAAATAAATAAATAAATAAATAAATAAATAAATAAATAAATAAATAAATAAATAAATAAATAAATAAATAAATAAATAAATAAATAAATAAATAAATAAATTAAAAAAATTAGGGGGTTCCCAATTAAAGTAATTTTCGTTGCTCAAAATATGATTCTACCTGTGCATATGGCATGAACTGCACATAATCGAAAAACCCTTATGGTTCTTATAGAAGTCAGTAAGAGTCAGTTTTCCACATATCGTAAATAGGGGGAAATTGTCTATAATTACATTCTAACATGGATAAGTCGTTTCTACCAATCAGATCGTAGTATGCCCATAACCTATACATGTACCGTAGGCGCCAGCGTTCCATTACTCCCGTCATCGTGTCCACTGTTACAGATACTATGGTAACACAGGTCATGGGGACAGGAAACTCCATGATAGAAAAGTACACTATTTGTGGACAAAAACACGTATCATGGCTTTCTCGATACCAACGAGATATTGGCGGCTTTCTCGATATCAATGACATATTGGTGGCAATTTACGTCTAAGCTCTATTAATGCAAACTTACTGTACGCCAATTCTTGCTCTACTAGAGACAAAAAATAATTGTCATCCCAGAGAAAGCTCAATTCGTTCCCAGCATTCCGTACTATTTCACTTGATGTATAGACCTTAGATGTGAATCCTCTCAAATGTTTTACCAGGTTCTGTAGAAATAATATAATGGAAGCGATGACATGAGACATCTGGATGTGACGGCAAGTGATAATACCTACTGTTTTGCGGATTATTTTCAAATGCAACGGCTGTTTGTTTGAGCTGACCCCTTGACCCGTGATAGTAATATGAAGTCGTTTGTATGGGATCGTATCTTCGTGAATTACATACGATATCGTATTCATTTTCTAAAGACCAAATAACAAAATTAACATTTATTCTCTGCCTTCAAATCCCCACCACTGTACCGGTTTGGCCGCAGGTCATTAAGATGCAGGGTTAAATACTATTTCGTGATCAAGAATATCTGAGTTGTCACGGTGTAAATGTGACACCACCATACAACACAACACAAGCCATAACATAGCCCAGTAGTTACCCAAGTCTACAGAATGCATGGTTTTGCTCGTTAAGGTTACTTTTTGATTTCAAATATTTTAGTGGACAGCAAACTACCTTATTGTATATCTGCAATTACATAGCGTGCTTGACAGATCCATACCTCCATATACCACATTCGAGTGCAGCTGTTTTTTCATTAAATATATTGTAACATAGCTGTATGAATGTTAATCTTATTGTACATGGTGACAAGCTTAATGTCACAAGGACAATTCAATTTCAAGTCTATGTATCACCCCGTTAAAATCAATGTTTTCCACTACGACTACTGAGTACTCGATTTCATGGAGACGTGTATATACATATATACAGATTCGCCAATAATCGTTATCGAATTCAGACCAGACCAATATTTAGTCTCATCGGCTAAAGCAATGTTAAATTAAGGGGAGTGTCGAATTGTTGGCGCCATATAGATTATCCAAGTCTACTCATTATATTATGCTATGATTTATGAAATCCTTATATACTTTCTTCTAGTATTTGATGTTTCATTTACAAATTGTCTGATTTAATTACAACGCACATCTATATAATACGTACACGTGTGGAAATCTGTTTTGTTCAACGAAATTGCAAGATTGCATTACTTGCTCCGCTTTTATCATGAATTTTCTTGAACAGCAATTTGAAAAATCTCTTATTTCAATAGTTTACCACATTTGTGCTGTGCCTGTGGCGATATTGTTTTCTTCAAAATTAGCAATCTTCATAGAGTGTTTAAAAGAAATGTACACGTTCAACTATCTAATTTCATGGCAGATAAAATCCTGATTTGTAATCAGGATTACTGTGTTACATATTATGAAATTATCAGACAGTTGGCTAGGATCAAGCTCATTGATTACACACACTGAATTTGGTTGACATGTTGTTGAAAGCTGAAAACTACATTGTATAACGTAAGTAAGATTCTTAAATATTAATATAACTAAGTGTTTGACACAATAAACCCTATGTTCGATGTGGGATACATGGTGTCCTAGAGCTCCGGTCATCGAATAATGGACGTCCCTGAGTTATTCTATTATATTAATCAGAAAAAACGCACACACACGAACGCACGAGAACGCACGCGTAATATAAACGTTGTGTCAATTATGTAAGATCTTACCCATGAACCTGGAGGTCTGGCAACATAGATGCACTTAACCCGGTAACGGTCCATCGTTTGTTGTATCTGTTTGCCAATGAATTCGCCTGTTTCGTTCAGTTCTCGAAACAACTTGCATTCTGGACTTTTGAGCGCATTACACCTACGAAAAAGTTAGAAAATTAAATTAGATTGGCGCTAATTATTAATATGCGTATTATGTATAGTGGAAAAGATGCATAAGTTTGCCACAGTAGCAGCGCTATATGGATAGTGATGTGAATGGTCATATTGCAAACATCGATAAAAACCGTAATCCCTTTATTCAGTTACTTACTATGTCTCGATTGGTCGACAGTCAACTAAGTATGATTTTGCATCAAACTGGTTGAACACATAGATTCAACGAATTAACTTACTCAATTAGTTGAGAATTGCTACCTAAATTAATCGAGACTGACTTTAAACGTTTCAAAAAACAGAGATTGCTTCTTGAGACACACAAACACAATTTCCCGCAGAATCTGCAAATGCAATTATAATATCCCCTTATTTGATTCACAGTACAACATTTGTTCATTGAGTTATTAGACGCGTCACCATACAAGCAAGCTTTTGTTACACAGTGTCTTCAAAATGCTTAATTATTGAATATTTGGCGGTGAAAATCTGAATGAGATAACTAACAAATTGTTGTTAGCAAGTGATGGATGTATTAAGCACTGTGGTTATTGATTCAACAGAGGTTCTTACCACAAGTTCATGAAATCATCGTTGATCCGCCAATGTACAACCATATACGGTGCTCCATTGCAAATTATTCTCTCAAAAACGTCTGTAACTTGGCGAATTTGGGTTGATCTTACTACGTATTCCTCGATGAGTTTTCCCATTTTATAAAATTCATCAGTGCTAATGGGTGAGGTGAGATTCATAAACTCGTAATCAATAGTGAATGGCGTGTAAAAAGCCAGGCATGGACTGGCAGTGGCATTTTTAAATCTCTGCGCACTGCCCAACGAACTTTTTGGAATGCTTCCCAATCCTGGAAACCTGATCCCAGTTGTATAGGTAAATCTTCGACGCGTCCTTTTATATTTTTCAATGTAATACTCGTAGTCCTTAGGACTGTGTATGAAAGGCTTTCCGTGTACTATTTTATCAATGACGCCGTCGCAGTCATTGTAGAATTGCTCAATAGAAGCAACGGGCACTATTGCACTGAGCGATGCAACGTCGAATGTTTCATTGAACGCCCTAGATTCTTTCTTGTCTATAAGTATGTGGTTGAAAAACGGTCCTAAGACCAAGGTTCGATTAAAATGAATAGCGAAGCGAATTGCTATCTTGAAACTTCTGTACTGATTGTTTGGTCCGGAACCAAATCTGAATATGGGCAGTAGATAAGGTGGAATGCCTGAACGATCCTTCTGTACCTGTAACGATAAACGGTGAATTGATTAATTACAATGTGATCTGGTCGCTTGACATTTTATACTGTCGTGCCATAAAATGACGAACTTGTATAACCCGTCAGTCAATGGTTTAAAACATACTACTAATAACAAACATTTAAATATTTTTGTTAACTATTTTTGTATTTTTTGTTTCTGATTTTTACATTGAAATTGCAAGTGCGAGTGTTGACATACAGAAAACATATTCCGTGTTTGGTATTATGCGACAAAATTGCATGGTGAAAATATAATGACTATTGCGACACGAGCCAGGCCCGGTCGAATACAATCACATCCATTCAGCCAGAGTATGTAAATGTGCCAGTTAACATCCTTTACATTATACACCGATGTTATTACCGCTTAACACGGCTGGGTATCTTACGTGTCCGCGATTATTGGTTTTGCAGAACAATAGTCATTCAGTGTATTACCTAACTCCTAACAGCTCAACTTGTAAAATTTGACGTAGTTGAGTGTGTGAGCGACGACAATCAATGTAACAATACCGATTTCCTAACACTTAACAACACGAGGCCAAAAATCCAAGTCCCCTTCCCTGATATATAATTGTCGGCAAGGTTCAACACGCTGACAATCATGTGTAAGAAACGTAGTAATTTCCTCATCTCTACACGTGATCGTGACATGTATGCAACACAGATACAACAATTGTAATTACAAACTCTTTTGTTCTGTATTTGTACTATAAACGTTAACATTTCGAACGATTTAGTAGTTCTATAATAACCATATTGAGAGTGTTGTGTTCTAGTACCCATCGAATAGGCATGGACATACATTAAAATGAAAATAGAAACGCAATGCTACTCGAGTTGTACATGGTTATGTTGGATGTCGTCACAGTAACGTTATTATTAATTTTTGATTCGAGTTCATTCTTAAAAATATATTCTGACAGAGCTAGCCCTTCCTGGATCATCGTGGATTAGCCGATATGCTAATTTTTCAACCTGGTAATGATATGCAGATATGTGAACTTAATTACATGTAAAGTTGGTATATAATTACATGCAAAATGAAATCAATGTTTAGGGTGTGCTATCTGCTAATATACCAGGGTTTATTATGAATTGCAATGTTGTGCATTCCCCCCCCCCCCAAAATATATAAATTTCACTAGTCTGATATACCCCAAGACTTTAGTATTTTTTTGATATGCATAAATTGATATTCGGAAATATAATTATCAGCAATTAACAACAACAACAAAGAGTTGAATCTAGCCCAACACGTTAAACGATAAGATCCATACTGAGTTTATGTTATAACTCATTTGTTGACGTACACGTTTTTTTTTTCGGGACGGGGGGGTGGGGTGTAAAACACCTTATGGTTGTTATGTGGCCAGCGGTCTTGTGTTTATACTAGATGGCTTGTTACCAACAATGCATTATTCTGCTGGGAAAATATCAGATGAATCACTGTTGTCTCAGGTGAGTGCAAATGAACACTCGATTTCATTCTGTCAAATTTGATTTGATCGTCGCCCGCGTAGTTTTAACCGTACTTCTTGGCGTTTCATTAAGTGGGCATACTTTGAACTATCTCTTAATATTCAGAACAAATTTGTGTGTGAAACGATTAAAACAATGTTGAGCCTATTTTGTGAACAGATGCTAAACCAAAAATAACTAAATAATTCGATTCGAGCACGCTAAGACACGTCATGGCGCACGACAAACAACATCCTCGGTAATTGACAAAGTGCGTTTTCATTAATGGGGAAATAGGCAACGTTCCATTTCATTAACGCACCGCAACATTCAACCATAGATTTCTTTTATGATGACGACTCTGGTTTAATTTGTCTAACAACAATATATTTTTTAAATAGTTGTGTACTTTTTCCGTAAACAGTCAATATTTTAGACAATTTATATAACTTGGGGAATTCAAAAACTGTAATGTTGGCTATTGTTACATGTCTGACACCTAAAAACAATAATAGTCAATAAGCTTTACAAATAACAGTATTAACACGCGGCAATATGTGAATACCTCTGTAAACAATATATATGCAAATATAGCAAAGATAATGTTATTGAGTTTTATGTAAAACGTTCGACATGCATCGAGTATTGGGATTGTGTCACATGTTATTAAAAAACCGGCACAGTAGTAAGCATTCCTGCGATATCACCCACAACAAAATGTGCGGATTTGTTACGTTACAATCAATTTTAGCTTAAGTGACGACAGCCGCCACTTGATATCGCGCTCAGTTTCATTTAATTGAGATACCAATATTGGCCAACATAAGCAGGGTATTGTTTTAGATAAATGTCCTTGTATCCTATGCTATACTAGACACACGTGTGTACGCACGGCATAACATAACATCATGAGTGCCCTTGTATCCTATTCTATACTATACACACGTGTGTACGCACGACATAACATAACATCATGAGTGCCCTTGTATCCTATTCTATACTATACACACGTGTGTAAGCACGGCATAACATAACATCATGAGTGCCCCTGTATCCTATTCTATACTATACACACGTGTGTAAGCACGGCATAACATAACATCATATGCGTAGTAGAAAGAAAAGCATCTGTATTTCTTATCGTATTTGATAAGTCTCTACCCTTAAACATATTGACATTATATACATGTATAGATATGCATTCTGGAAAGAACAAATGGTAACGTTATTAAGATTAGCTGAGCTATAATATAAACAGCAATACACGGCATGTAGAACTTCACCACACACAAACGAGAACAATCTTTAACGCATGTGTTTCTGCATATTATAATATAGAATAGATGTATCGCTCTTTGAGCATTTCGTTGCTCGATCTTAAGCCGAATACCAGAAGCTGTTGACTGCATTCACTCGTACATTATAGCTAATTTGACTCATACAACAGAATATCAATTTATATGTAATAAACTTTTTAAAAAAATCTGATTTCACGTTCATCATAATATATTGAATACATTTACTATTCATTAGAATTGAAATTATTCTATACCAGTTTGATATTACTGTTAATTTTGACATTTAAATATATTGATCTCTTTATTTTCACGTTTGTAATATAAGAACTAAGATATATCTGATCTATATACGGTTTATTGAAATAAATTGTGTTTGTGTGTTTATTTTGTTCTATATGATCTATGATTATATACCAACTTGTTTATTTATTTATTTATTTATTTATTTATTTA